GGATAGGCGTCAGCTGTTGGTGCATCTCTTCCGTGTTCATATTGGTTGGTTGTTGTGGAGTCCTGGCACGGCTCCTCGTCGGCTGGTGGTGTTTCCGAAACAACCTCGAGCCGATGAGGGCCTGGCTGGTGATTGCGATCGAGTATGTTGTTGTTGGCTAGGTCGGCCACCGTTTCGGTGGCGGCACTGAAATTGGGTGGCGATTCCTTCCAACCCATGGGGAGGACCAATGGGAATGCCACCATCGGTTCTTCTCCAGGCCGAGTGGGGAAAAGCATCCCTAGCTTGGGGATGTCACTGGATTTTATCCACACACGGTAGAAGCCATCGGCTATATCGATCTTGGACAAGTACATTGGACCGTGCTTCGGGTCTGCATGGTGGACCTTCTGCATGACCCTCTGCAGGGCCTTTCCAAACTGCATGGCTTCGGGAGGAGCGGTGTTGTCGGTTTCTTCGTTAACACCAAAGTAGGTGTAGTCGCATATTGTTCGTGGTCGTCTCTCTCGTTGTGGAACCACGCCGAGAGGGCTCAGTCGCAAGTCCGGCATGTTTCCTTTCACGGCACTGTACGGTAGTAGTGTCCAGTGCCCTTTATTCATCATACCGACAAACTCTTCGCGAAGGAACTCCACGTGCTCTTTCGCGGATTTGTGTGGTCCTCGCTCTAGAGCTTCCAGTATTCTGGCTTCTGACCACGGTGGTGTTGTCATGTGCACTGGAGCCCCCTCGGTTCGAAACGTTTCCAGCAGTTCGTGTGCTGGGTGGGGTATATTGTTTACATTGGCTTGGAAGTCGCTAACTGGGTCTCTGGATTCGCGCACGAAGGAATTCCAGTCTGCTGCTCGTTTGTAGCGTTCGGTGGCCTGTGCTACCAGCCGATCGAGTTCGTCTGGTGCATCAGAGTGTGTTGTGGTGGTGGCTGACCCGATCGTTGCGTCGGTTTTGTTGGCCAGTTTCGTGTCGGTCTCGGACCGCTGTCTCGGTGTTGTGCTGTCCACATGCGGCACCGGCATGGTCGGTGTCGTGGTTGATGTGGTCGTATCATTGTTGGAAGGTTGGTCGCTTCGTGTAGGGTTCCTTTCAGATGTCGTTGTCCGCTCGAGTGCGTGAACAGCCTCGGGTGGCCATCGTGTTGTTGCCGACGGCTCCTCGGTTGGTGTCGTCTGGTTCGTGTCATGTTCCTGCAACACGTTTGAAGGGGGCTGGACAGTGCTCGCAGTGGACTTGGGCTCTACGATGTCTGACTTAGCGGACGCGACGAGTGGGGACTCACCTAGTTGACTACTAGTAGTGTGTTCGTTAACGGGGCTACTATGATTCAAGCTAAGGGGGACTACTCTTGGCGACACCTTCATGCGTGTCACTGGCTCGACAATCGGTACACGATGCTGCGTGACCGGTTGTCTGCCGTCTTCTCAGGCATAAGCTCTGAGGCACCATGCATGAAGATTATTGGTCTCTTCAGGGGTGTTGGCTACGTGATCTGCCGCTCTAGGGCACGTGGTGTAGCATCTTCCGGTGATGTGCCATGATGCACAACAGTCCACAGGTCCGCCGTTGCGTTGGACTTGGGGCGGATTGTCTCCGGCAAGCGCAATTGCGTCACGGACGCGACGTGTGCGAATGTTGTTGGCCATGGGTGTATTTCCAGTGTAACGTTGGTCCCGATTTGGATTTCGGACCACCTGACGTCGGTTGGGATCTTGGTCGTCGTCGTTGTTGTTGTTGTTGTTGTTGTTGTGGTTGTTACCTGCTCGTGGATTGCGAGGAGCTGCCGGGGCTGTGCCACCAGCGTTCGCCCTTAGCCGAGCGAGAGCGGGAATGTTGTCCACCGATGGAGCCCAGTTGAGGTTGTTGTGGGTTTCGAATGCCGCGAGTCCAGCCGCTAGGTCTGGGCCGCTCAGGCTGGTGGTCGTTCGAACCGCCATCTGTTTGACAAAGTAGGCTCTGTAGGAGAGCTGCACGTGTAGGACGAGCACAGCTGGGCCCAGCTTGATGCCATATTGATTGTTGAGTGCTGCATGTAGCTGTGGGCTCAGTCGGTCGTACTCCAGCAGGAACTCCTTGTAGGCTGTGACGTTCGCGTGGTCTGGGCCAAATATCATTCCTAGGATGGGTGTGTAGCACTTGAGCTGAGACGCAGCTTCGGTCCAATCTTGTGGGACATAGCCCTTTGGATTCTTCATTTGTCTAGCGTCCGAGGCAGTGATGCTGGTGCTGAGTGGGTCCCCACTCATATCATACTGGTCTGCTCTCATGGTGTCATCTGCTAGTTGTCGTTGGCCTTCAGGCGACATGGCACCAGGTGGGGTGATGGAGAAAGGCAGGATGCCAGTCCCAATGGCGTGGAAGGCATCACCTTGCAACTTCCAACTCTTGAAAGCGATCGTTTGTTGAGGAGAGATCATTGGGGCGTTGAAGCCTAGGCTTCCAGCCATGGTGTCCACCTCGTGTTGGAGGAGCATCCGTTCTGACACTCCTTGCGACTTACCCGCGAGCTCATGGTAGATGGCCGGGAGATCATCATCATCCGCGGCCCCGGTGAGCAGCAGTAGTCGGTCCGTGATCCGGTCCTTGAAGCGTTCACGGACGTCCTTTGGCTTGGTAGCTTCTTCGCGCCGCTTGTCGATGTCGTTTCGGGCTAGTCTCGATTCAGCCACTAGGTCGTGTATTCCCTGCGCCATCTGACGCATTGCTGGGTCCCCGGGTGGTCCGCTGAAAGGCTTGAGGCCCGTGAGTTGTCGGTATAGTACGTGCTCACGCCGATGGCTGTGCACTTTTGGTGTTGGCACCGGTGTGTCCGCTCCTATCTTGTCGTGTACTACCAATGAGTCGGTTGCATTGGCCACGGCGAGTGTTGACGCGACCATGAGGAAATTGAGGAGGGGCTCATAGTGTCCAACGCGGTTGTTGGTCCGGGCATGTGCATAGACCACTTCGAAGGACTTTCGTGCGCTGAAGTCTTTCCCGAGAAGGAGGCCCGTGATTTCGAATGGGATGTACATGGACTTTCTGACCCTTATTGTCTGGGTATTGGCGTCGGCGGCATCGTACGGACCCAGTAGTTCTGCTTGTCGGTCCGCTCGTAGTGCTTCCATGTGCCGTTGAGGTGATGCAGAAGTGATGACTTGGGCCGTGAGATCCAGCTGGGACTCTAGGAAGGAAACTGTGTGGATGTCGACTCCTTCAACTTCATCGACGTAGCAGAAGGTCTTGCGACGTTCTGGTGCTGCAACAGCTCCTGGTTCACCGGGGTGACGCATAAAGCCATGCAGAACTTTGAGCCTTCCTCCAGGTTTGTTGGCTTCTGTGATCAGTACTGCTACTCCACCAATGGGGTCAGCAAAGTCATCTAGCATTTCTTGATGCAGCTCAGCATTGGTAGAGGGGTTGTCTGTGGATCTCCACTGTAGCATGAGCCGTATGGAGCGGACTTCTGCTGTGTCGAAGTCAGCTCCTAGTGGGTTGTTGGTTGGGTCATTGAATAGAACCCCGTAGGTCTTAGGTGCCGACTGTGCCATGGTCGTGTCCGATGGCGCTGCGTCTTCGAGTGCAACTAAGGGGGTAGGGGCTGGTGTCGTCTAGGACGACGGCGGGAGGCTGTAGTCGTCGTATGAGTGAACCAACCATGTCTTATAGCCGAATTAAACCTATCTAACTGTATCTGGAGGTTCCAAGCCTCTTGTGAGGTGAGGAACCTATCTCTCTTGTTGAGTCTAGCTAGGCTATGAGCCCATTTCAAGCACTTGGTCATTCAGCACGCCAGCCCAGATCTGGCAGCACGCGATGCTGAGAGCAGAGACCAAGGACTTTGGCTGACCAAGGTGTTGCCGTTTGATATGGAAGGCGGCGCACACAGGAAGACAGTTTTTGCTGGGTAGATTAGGTAAGTTTAGGGTTAAAGTTTACTTTTACTTCTAATTTTTGTGTAGAAAAAAGCTTTTACCGCAACTACCTTAATTCCAAAGTTGTCTTCCTGGAAGGCCTCTTCATACGACTTTTAGTCCCGGATTCGTTCTAACAGCAATAAAAGTCGCGTGCAAAGTCGCAGTTTAGTCGCACAGAAGTCGTATGCGACTTTTTCAAACGACTTTGAAAGTCGTGCCAATTTGCGAGAAACAACAAGACAAAGTCGCGTCGGATCGCTGAAAGTCGCATGTAAAGTCGTATGAAAGTCGCGTGCGAGTCGCATGCGACTCTCCACGCGACTTTCAGGGATCCGACGCGACTTTAAAAATACCATGCATGAAGGGGCCTTCCTGGGGGTGCAGATAACTGTTGTCACGTTGTGTCGCCTTTTGTGAAAGGTTGCGGAGACCACGGGTTACACATGTGTATCCAAAACGTCGTTAGCACTGTAGATATAGCTAGCCAGGTCACATTTGTAGCGACGTCGGTAACTGCCGATGATGGCACTAGTGCTATCGAGATTTTCCCTGTTGAATTGGTCAACTCTCTCTGCGCGAGGAATGTGTTTTCGGGGGTATTTTGTAGAACTAGCCTAATGCATAGTACGGTAGTCTCTCTTTACGGGGCAAGCGATTCAAGAATAAATTTATTGAGAAGCCTGCTGGAAGTGCAACTCAAGGCATGGAGCGCTCTCGTGCACCGCTTTGCTGAAAGTCTACAAATCAGTCGGCTTTGACCCAGACCTGGCTTGGGAAGCAATTTGACAGCTTCTGGAATGTCAAGGATCGTTGCTGGGTTGCTGAGAGCAATTTTCTGAAGGGTACGTCGTAGTTGGAAAGTGATTGGGCGTGGCTAGCTAGGGCGACTTCACCAGAACTCTAAAGTGGTTGTTGTATCTGGAACGGTGGCTCTACTAGTCTACGGTAACAATCGTACTCTGACGCCTGTTTTGGTCAGGACTGAGACTTGCATCTTGTCGGGAAACCTGTTTCCTCCAGCTTCAACGGCTTGTCGGGGTGCTCCTACGTGGCCCTGACAAATTTAGCTGTACCAATAGCCCCTTTGACTTAAGGATACTGCCCCTACGTCACCCTACTTCAGCAGTTGTAATTCTATTTCGACTTCGTCCAAGCAATGGATTGCCACATTGCCATGCACCACCTCTCCCCATGGAAGCAAGTACGAGAGTGTTGGAAAGTAATAGGAAAAGGAAACAAAGTAGACACGCGTCGAAACGATTGCCGTGGAAGGGGCTTCAGTACGACGGTAGGAGAGGCAATCAAGAATAAGCAGAAGCAGTTACTGAAAGGTATTCCTTGGGCTTCTAGCCAGCATCCACCAACCACAAGCACCACACGTTGCAGTAGAGGGAAATCATAGTCGTGTCATGATTGACATCAACTGCGAGAAAACTCATCACACTACTACTAGCAACCCAAAGTTCGGATAGTCTCCTCATCCTCAGTCCAGTGTGAACAGATATATCTAGCTAGAATGGCGGACTCTGCTGCGCCTGCCGCCAAGCGTCAAAGGACGGGAGATGACGATGGTGGTGATACCGTTGGCCGCCTCGTCTTCCAGCGTCGGTGGGAAGGTGCTATCGAGCGGGTTAAGAAGTTCCCAGAAGAAGCCAACCCCACCACAGACCCGACCCCGTTAGCCCTGGCTTGTCGGCTCGGTGCCCCGGCCAAGTGTGTCAAGGCGATTCTGAATGCTTGCCCGGATAAACTTCGTCACTTTGTCGACTCACGAGGCACTCCACTCCATGAAGCCATTGTATGTGAACATGTCGGTGCAGATGTAATTGGTACCTTGTTGGAAGCCGACGAAGCCCTGGGGACAAAGACGGTCAGGGCTGCCTTACTACAAGACATTGATGGATTCACACCTCTTCATATACTCATTCGAAGGAGGTTCCAGTCGCACATTCTTACAGACGATGGTCTCATTCAGATACTTGAAATGCTCGTCAAGAGCTGTGCCAAAGCAGTTGTGGTCCCTGACCGAGGAGAGTACGAGGAACCGCCCATTGTCTATGCTCTCAAGGCAAATCTATACGCTCCCCTATTGGGATCTGAAGACGCTACCACGGCACGGGTGGAAAGGAGAATCTACGAAATGGTGGCATGCATGCTTCAACATTATCCAGATGCCGCATGCTGTGTGTTTGCAGGCTACAGAGGACAGTATACAGCAATTCACTCTGCCGTCTTTCACGGACGATCCCCACATACGTTGGAGCTTCTCTTGAACGCAGAATCTAGAACTCACACATCTTCCAAGGCGTGCATGTTAGGCAATACACAAGGAGAAATGCCTCTGCACTTTTGTACCATGCGTGGTGAGCCGCCCCAGTCTGTCGCTCTCTTGGCAAAGGCGGCACCTTGTGGTACGTACACTGGTGTGTTCTCGCAAAGCAACGACCAAACCAAATCATCTCACTCACTTTGTGTTTATTTGCTTGTGTGATGTTCCATAGTTGTAAAGACACGAGATGATAGTGGCATGATGCCGACGCATTGGCTTTGGGTGAGGTTCGTGTCGTCTTTAGTGGCACTAGAAGGCGGGCGACGAGGTAGTGATGATACCGTCACACTGGATATTCCTCGCCAAACCCAATATCCAAGTACTTCAGTCTACACTGACTTTACTTCCTTTGAACAAGGAGACTTGGAAACAGACCTCTTGGTCATTCGTCGACTAGATCCGTCGGTCGACTTTCTCCGGATGCGGCACATCCCCCTCGATGTCTTGGGTGAAGAAGACTCGTTGAGATGGGCTACCCGGACAGTGGAAATATTACAGCATGTGCGTCTGAGGCATGCTCAAATCGCTTCAAGAGGGGAGCAAGCTGGGACACAGGTTGTGTGGACCCGTCGAGAGGCGGTGGCCAGTCTCTTTTGGACGAAACTCGTTTCCTTGTTGGAAGCATCACGTCAAGTTGGAGAGAACCAACCTAGTGGAGAACACGTGTTGGCCCACACGGCATTTGCCAGTCCATGTTGTCTTCCAGCAGTGGCCCGCATTGTAGCCTCTCTCTTTTCACAAGAAATGGATCTGCGAGACGACCACGGGCGATTGCCACTGCACTATGCCGCTGCACGCAAGTGGCACGACCTTGATTGGCCTCCAGAAGGTTCGCCCGAAAGTGATGCAAGAAGGCCAGCTCGGCTCTTCCGCATGGAAACCCTTACAAGCTTACGCACTGCCATGGAACTATCCAGCGACACTGCTGCGTCTATTGTAGACACGCATGGGCGATTGCCGCTGCATTACATGGTGGAAGCATACGTCAAGGCGGCGAACAGGCGTGCTTGGGATCAACCTGTACAAGCAATGTTAGACCTCATCAAGGTCATGGTCCAGCTTTTCCCAGACGCTCTCCATCGGAGCGACAGTGCCACACAGCTCGTCCCGTGGCTGCAAGCTACGGCTACCGCAACTGAGTGTGCACAGACTACGAACTCTTTCAACCCTGAGATCCACTTGTCGATTCCTTTCGTCCTCCTCAGAGAGAATCCTACCTTGCTCTTGTCGGCTGTTGGAAAGCCACAAGTGCAAAATGGATGACGTGAACGAGAAAGAAGTATGTTGGGTTGATTCGATTCGAGCGATTCATCTGCAGAGATGTCTCGAGGACGAAGGCGTCAGCGAAGGATTAGATGCAATGTCGGCAAGCCAATGAGCACATCACAGCCGCAACTCTGACCTCCTTTCTCCTGTTTCGTTTTACATACCGTTCGTGTAAATGAGGTGTTTTACCAGCAAAGCAACCTACGAAAGGGGACCCCGAACAAGCAGCTAGATCAACAACGCACAATAATTTAAAGACAAACAGCTGCTATACTATTAGTGACCGTGTCTATTCTAAGCTCCATTCAATCGAGTTCGCCTGAAACAAGCGCAGTCTTCATTCTTTTCCAGCGCCGCACCGATTCTGAAAAGGACGGTGCGGCACTTTCATTCAGATGAAAAGAAAGCTCTTGGATCAGCGTGATCGGTTGCATGGAATCTTGACGCATGAGGTCTGTTAATTGTTGTCTACTAAGCAGCCATGTCAGCAGGATGGTGGCTTCCCTGTTCGATAATGTCATGAGGAATACCAAGAATATCACCAAAGATAGGGCGGGCTTCGACTTCTCCAGCTCGCTCGATCTCACGGAAAACTCTGACAAAGACATCGGATCTTGCTGCACCATCAACAACCAAATTTCCTCCAATTATGAACTTGGGTATACCATGAACACCTAGCATTTGCAATTGTTGAAGAGCAGTTTCAATCTCTTTTCGCCCTTCGTTTCCGTTCAAGAAAGTCAATAGTTCGCTCTCAGATGGAGCCTTATCTGCAAGTAGTTTTGTCAGCTCCTCCGACACAGTCTTAGCCAACTGAGGCCTGTCATTGAGGGAGTGACCTTGCACAAAATAATACCTGCCGGTAACAGGGTCATGAGTGGATTGATTCAATCATTCAGGAGGCTTGATCCCGTCAAGAGTGACATGCAACGAGGTGTATACCAACTTACTCGTTCAGTTTGTCATAAATGGCTTCTGAGACAGCCAGTCCAAACGTCTTGCCGAGATATTGTATCAACCTGTGTGAGGCCATTGAATTGGCAGCCAGTCTGTCCAAATTGAAGTGCTCGATACCAGCTTCCAATCCGCGTCCTTTCAGATCGTGTCTCCGTTTCTGTTCTTCCCAACCAGCAACTCCGCCCCATTTTTCAACCAACCGTTCTCGGTTGCTCGTTACGAATGGCAAATTTTCGTCATAATGAGGCTCCAGAAAGAATGGCACGCGAATCACAGAAAACGCAAGCGGCTTTGGTGCTTCGGGAAGAGGGTTGCTCAGAACTTCTTCAATAGCTCTGTTCAAGTGCTTCTTCCCGATGTACCCGTTTGGTCATAAAGTGTCAGAAACGAGTTCGACAGGGACCACCAGGGGAGACGATGCCAGTGCTGATAGACTGCGACAGACGCTGCCGTTCACCAAAGAAGCTACTTGGCGTGTGGATGTCAGGAACATGGTTGTAGAGATGTCCTGTCACCAATTGCTACCCTCGACAATGGAAATCCAATACTGCAGCAAGCGGTGAGCCTTCCAAAATGAACGAAAGCACGAAAGCCACTTCGGTCGCTGAGTCAGTCCGGGACTCCAACATGGGGGACTAAAACCGTCCTCTTTCTGGATGATGTGTTCAAAGACAGCGCCATATGTGTATCATCCATAGGCCATGAGCTCCTGCCTGGTAAGGATCCTGACCTATCCCTGGTCTCCATTCGAGGCCCAATTCATGGTCTCCGTCGCTAGATACCACTCCCAGACGAACTCCAGGATCAACACCTAGTTCTACACCTGGACCAACACCAGGAACCACTCCAAGTCAGTGGCCAGATCCCACTCCAGCAAAAAGCACTCAGCCTCCCCTGCCCCCACCTCTGGAAACATTCGTTGACCTACAATTCTAGGCCCACTCCTGGTCCCACACCATGTGCTTCTCCAAGTGTCACTACAGTAGCACTGGTGCCCTTGGTTCACCTCTGGGCCCCTTGTCGTTCAGGGCCCACTCCATGCCCACTACAGTTGGAAAGAGTCACTGAAGTTACAACTCCTTCAGATGCCTCTAGTTGTTGATCCAAGCCAGCTTGTACAGTACTATTTTTGTTGAACCAGTAGCAACCATACCACTAGCAACCATACCAGCACCTTCACACTAACGAGGCCGAAGCATCTTTTTCAGTGCTTGAATGATGAGATTGTTTGTCTTGTAAACAAATCTAGCTGTGTGTACCTGGCCGGAAAATCTACAGTAGGTGTCATTGATCCTAAGCATGCCATGCCTGCACTCTGAATTTCTCTTAGCTAACAGCAACATTGGACTACTGCTTCCTTGAAGCGCCTGTATCAGCAAGGTACTGACGTGCCTGAAGGTACACATTGGAATGTGCTTGAAGAATTGGAGCCCAGTCGTCAGTGCGCGGATAGCCACCTCCCATGGTGATTACCAGCGGCACATTCAAATCCATTGCAAAATCAAACACCAGCTTGTTCCGTGTCTCCACTCCTTTCTGGGATATTGACATTCGTCCAAGCCGATCTTCTGCCAGAATGTCGACTCCTGCTTGGAAGAATACCAAGTCGTACGGTCCACTTTCGCGCTTTATTCTCTTCAACCAGTGGCTCAGAGTCATCAGGTAAGTCTGATCTGTGCAGTCTGGTGGAAGCTCTACGTCCAGATCAGACTGCTGCTTTTCAGAAAAGTAGTTTGCAACGCACTGCATTGAAAAAGTTACAACCTCAGGGCGACCTTGAAACAAGACAGCGTTCCCATTGCCTTGATGAACGTCTAGATCCAGGATGAGGATACGTTCGATGTTGGGGAAGCTTTGTAGTGCAACATTCGCAGCAACTGCTATGTCTGAGAATACGCAAAATCCTTCTCCCCGGTCGTGGAATGCGTGATGAGTACCTCCTGCCACGTGTGCCGCCCAAGGTGGGATGGAAGAGGGGTTGTCTTTCCTTTGTTCTGCTGCTTCGCAAACAAACTTGGCAGCTGCCACTGTGCCACCAACGCTTGAAAAGGACCTCTTCACATTTTCCTCGTTCCATGGGAAGCCAACGTTCCGTAACTCCTGTTCCGTCAGATCCCCGCTCAGCACCTTCTGCACATATTCATAGCTGTGTGTTGTCACAAGCTCATCAACTGTCGCAAGAGGGGACACATGAAAGTCTGTGGTTCGCATAAGGAGTTCTACATTAGGCCATGAACACAAATTCAAAGAATGTATCTGTCAGCCCCCACCTGTTCAGAAAACATACCACAGTCTACCTTTTCCTGTTCCTCCTTAGGTAGCTCCTTGACAACCTTTTGCACCTGCTTCCTTACTCGTTGGTATTTATCCATTGGAAATCTGTGGCCTTTCGGCAAATGAACTTCGTAGACGTCATTGTAGAATATGCGAAAAGCTGGTATGCTTGATTTGTGTTTGATCGAGGTGGTGGCGTCTTCTACCTCAGCAGCGCTCGAAGAAGCTGACATCCATCTACTCCCAATTGATCCTCTGGAGGATTGCAAGGTTCTTGACAAGTTGTTCACTGTAAATGAGCGCACTGCTTGTTTGCCAGTTCTCGTGTAGCACGCTGGTTGGATCATGCCAATTGCAGATTTCAATTGCGACGATACCAGGAGGATCATTGGCATGGAAACGAGATGGATGATCGGTTTGCGCTGTTGGGTTCGGACCATTGCAGATATGGTCGAATTATTTGTACGCCTCGAAGAACGCTTTCGCGTGTTTCGGGTTCAGCGATACCGTGAGGATAGATCAACACTGGTAAGCATGTGGCTCGATCATCTCTCTGTCGAAGACCTTCCTCGGCTGCGTTGTTGCTTGTTTTTGCGAGCGACCATGCTACGGCAGGGGTGGGAGGAAAGAAAAATGAGCAATGACGTCAGACCAGAAGATTTATCAATTCGCGGATTTATGCGACAATGATTTAGCTGGCTTCGGCGAATGGACGACGAAGGTTGCTCCTGATGCTGCGTATTTACTCCGTACCGTACAAGTCGAAGGCAAGACAGATCAGACAATACACTACATGTAGCAGGCTGTCCTATCAACGTATAGTTGCCACCAGTAAAACTAAGATTCCTTAGTTAGAACCAAGGAATGATGAATGAATCCAGGCAGATTAGCCCTCAACCGTCTACTAGCTAGGCCGATTGTCGGGCTCTGTCTTCGGCTTCTTTCTTTTCTTTTTGTTTTCGGAGCATTACCTCGTTCCATTTTTCATATTTGAGCATCTTTTGTTCCTCCTTCTCCTGGGCCCTACGATTCACCCAGTCCACAAATCCACCTTTATCGTCCATTGAGGGTGGAGCAGCTCCGACCAAGTCCTTGGCAGTGAGTTGCGATCTGCTCCCATAGGCGCCATAGTCATTGGATGGCTGCATTTCTGGTTCCGGTAGATTGGACATTAAGCCTCCACGGACGAATCCTCCCAAGCCTCGTTGCGATAGTTGTTGCCGATCACGTCGAAACTGGGAAATTCGGTTCTCTTGTTCATCGGCAATCTCGTCTGCGTCCATTCCACGATACTGTTCCAACAATGCTGGAAAATCGTCGTATCCTTCTCGTACAATTTCAATGAGAAAGGGAGCAATTCGTGCCAGTGTATTATCCGTCCTGTCATTGGGGTCCGTGTAAGGTTTGACGCGGATCATGTTTTCTGGATTCAATGAAACCTCCGCTGGGTCGTCATCAATGACAATCATCCGTTTCACATTTCGATTCAAGCGACTGAGATCCTTGACATGGATTCCGTTGCGATAGTAGGTTGCATCTCTGTAGAGACGATGCATGATGCAGCCGTCCTTGTCCAGCGACGTGACGACTGGATCTGCAATCCCATCAATGCTTGGAGAATACAGCACAATTTCATAATATCTGTAATTCAATTCGTTCAAAACAGTGTGAGAGTTACTGCACTCGACTCACTCAATTCCTTGGACGTTGCATGAATATAAAGACTGAACTTACTGTGCCATATCATGCAAGAACTTGTCAACTCCAGGACGCTTTGCATGGCGCCAACCATACTTTCTATCCCAAGTGGAGCTCACCAATGTGTTTTCCAAATCAAGGACTAGAGTGGGCGGCACTGGGATATCATGGGGTACATTTGGCATCTGGGAAACAAAAAACAACAACAAATGATGAGGTATTGAACATTAGAAACACATCCTCAAATTAAATAATACAAGAAGAAGGGTATATACCCAACAAGGATAAATACATACCTGTGACCAATCTGGCAATAGCTTGTCATGAGATGGCTTGGCAAAGTCCTCTGAAAAGCTGGTAACGAGTGCCGTCAATCCAATCATCTTTGCAAATTTGGCAGGTGGGCTATTCTCATCGTTGGATCCCCAAACCAACAGTGCCGAGGGGACTCCCACGCTGATATACCAGACCCATCTGGAGTGCTTGGACGACAAGTGAACCGCTGACGATGCTGCAGAACTTGCTCCAGCCGATGCATCGCCACTCTGTTGTTGCAAGACCTTAGCAGCCTGTTCCTTGCGGGCTTGTCGCAGCGCTTCGCGTTCTTGAGGTGACACTGTCTTTCTCACGGGACGAACGGCAGCAGGAGGAGCTGCTGCATCGGACAAGTACCTACGACTCTGTCGCAACAGCGATCGTCCCACTACAGCTCGGGACAACATCTTCTTCTAGATATTTATAATATAGATATGGATGGGTATAAGCTTGGAAGCAGCCTGAGAACAGATCGGATAGATGATAGTGAAGCGCTGTCTTATTGTTGCCCGACGAGTGGCCGAGGATCGAGGTTGTGAGTCGTGAGTGGATTCAATCCCACGATCTTTTCAGAAAAAGGAGGGAGGGAAGTGTGTTTTCCATGTCATTGTCTGCGAGTTGGAAATGGAAGCGCTGTTGTATTAGTTTTGTGATATCGTGGCCAAGCTGAGGCTGACAGTGCCCTGTTTTGCATTCATTGTGTGCTCAAATTCTATTGTACTCGTAGCGACACGTTCAAAGATATCGTGTTGGACTTGAAACAAGTCCAAGCAAAAGGATTAGGATTGCAGTCGGCCGACAATGACGCAAACTACCGGTGCTGACACGAGTCCAACCGTATTGGCGGTGAGCAACGACAGTCTCCTTCTCGGGTTGCTATCCTTGTTCCTTGGAGGTTCCATCTGGTATTTTCTCGCCCACAATAAGAAAAAGAGATCTCCAACTCTGCCATATCCAATACAGCCCCCAAATCCTCACTTTCTCTTGGGCCATGCAAAACTGCTGGATCATACCAAAGGACCCCATTTTGATATCAAGCTCCTGGAGCTGGCCAAACAGCTCGGGGGCGTCTTCTCCCTTCAAGTCCCGGTTTTGGTAGGTTTGTTTGCGTCGTCGGTTACATGTATGCATTTTCATGATATTCCTCCTGTCCACTTTCAGCTAAAACCAATGCTACGTACGGGACCGTGGAACAGGGCACTATGATTGTGGTGGCTGATCCAGCCCTCATCAAACACGTTACTGTTACCAAGAATTTCCCAAAGAGTTGGACCATGAAGAAAAACATTCCATTGTTTGGTGAAACATCGATTCTACTACAGGGAGACGAAGCATGGAAACGCCTTCGCAAGACGTTTGCACCTGGCTTTACCACTAGTTTTCTCAAAGACATGGTCGCCGTCATGTGCGACAAGTTGGATCGGTTCATGGAATGTATCGAACAAGAAGATGTCCGCGCCAACCAGCCTACTCAAATGATGACCAGAGCACAGACTTTCACGTCAGATGTCATTGTGCAGATTGCCTTTGGAGAAGATTGGGGTGGCACCAAACCTCATGATGCTCGAGGATACATCACGGAGATCACAGAAGGTGTCATTTTTGCAGATAAAGATATCAAGACCAAGTTGTTTGGTTGGGAGCACAGGCGCCGAATGAAAGTCCTAGAAGCAAAAATTGACGAAGTGATGCAGCAAGTGCTGGACCGCAGATTGGGGCAACTGGACACGAAAGGAAAGATCAATGGAGCCAGTACTACTAATTCAACTACCACCACAAGGAACTTTGCCAATGTGTGTACGTTGGCTATTGATTCTATGAGAAAAGAAAGACCTGACGGTGTCCTGACAGAGGAAGACCGAACAGTGATTGTGCATCAGCTCAAAACCTTCTACTTTGCTGGACATGACACAACTGCCACCACCATCTCCTGGGCCATTTGGCTTTTGAGTCAGCATCCCAACGTCTTGGAAAAGCTGCGGGCTGAGTTGCGGGACAGGCAAATCTTTTCCACGCCAGAGCAACGCCCCACTTATGAACAGTTGCAACAATGCGAGTATCTGGAAGCTATACTGAAGGAAGTCTTGCGACTGTATCCGCCAGGTGCGTCGGCACGGTACACTTCGGATGAGAGCGAATCATGGAAAGGAATGTAGATTGGCGGTGCCGTGCTGTACGTGAACTGTTTTGTTGCCCATCGATTGCCGCAATACTGGGATCGTCCCGATGACTTTTGGCCAGAAAGATTTGTCGGAGTTCCACCGGAAGAGTACGCGGACAAGTACATTCCCTTTCTGAAGGGACCACGGGTTTGCTTGGGCAAGTACTTTGCGTTGCTGGAGGCTAAGTTGGCCATCAGTGCCCTGGCACAGCGCTATGATATGAGCTGTGTCAACCCCAATGAAACCATAAGCTACCGAATCACAACCTCACCTCTTGATGGTGCCAGGGTGCAACTGTCCATGCGAAAGTAAGCGACGAAAACTCTGCTTTCCTTTCACTTGGCTCTGCCGAGGATCGTTATGTTCGCAGGATGATTCGAAGCTCGCGAAAGTGAGCGTGTGACTGCTTGCTCTAAATTTAAAGGTCCTCAGACTATGTAAAGAAGATTATCAGACTAAGAGCGTTGGCACCTGGCACCTAGTTTGGTTTCCTACAGTTGTTCCGCTTTTCCTAAGAGAACATCTCTTCAAATCGATCTCACTACAAGAGAACTTAGCCGGTCTCAATGATTCCAGCAGCAATGAGCTTGTTGATCTTTGCTCGCATTCCCGGATCATTCATGGCCGACTGCGCAGAGGAAGGATTCTCCGAGAAGTCTCGGAGCGTCTGCTGCATGACAGGATCCTGCAAGATTGCTTGGATCTCCGGATCTGCCATGGCATGAGCCGCCTGTTCCTTCTTTTCGTCTTCTGTCATGTTGGCGCGTCCATATGCCACCTGCTGATTGACTTTGCGTAGACCCTCCTTGCAGCTGGCATTTTCGGGGTCAATCACCAGACCAGTTTTGTAGGATTCCATGGCTTTATGGAATTCCTTCATGACCATTTCGATATCCCCCTTTCGAGCCCATGCTTTGACGTATTTGGGATCCAATTCCAGGGCTACTTCAACTTGTCGCTTGGCACCGTTGAAATCCATGACTTTGCAGAGAGCAGCACTTAGATTGTTGCGAATGGGGGCATTCTTGGGAGCGCGTTTGACGGCTTCTTCGTACTGGGTGACAGCATCACCCCATTGTTTGGCACGGAAGAAATCGTTTCCTTTTTGTTTGGCCTCTTCTGCCTTTTCCTCATCCTGATATGCTAGTGCCTTTGCCTTTCTGTTTTCCAATTCCATTGTCTTGAGCAATCGCTGAGTGGCCTTATCAAATGATTCCAACTGCGCTTCATTGCACATTTTGATTGCCTCGTCAAGGTCGCCCTTCTTTTGATACGCCTTGGCGGCACGAGTGTAGGCTTTGGCGCGATCTTCAAATGGAGCCCGATTTTGCTTACCAATTTCGACTGCAGTCATACACTCTTTGATGCATTCATCCCATTTCTTTTGCTGAAAGTATACGGCAGCCTTGTTGGAAAGGTATGTCATGGCAGTGGGATCTAATGCAATGGCTGCGTCGTAGCACTCAATGGCCTCGGCGAATTTTTTGTTTTTGTAGAATTCGTTTCCTTCCTCTTTCTTTTTCTTGGCGGCTCGTTGATCCTCCTTTTTCTTCCGTTCTTCCGGAGACAACAATGACAAATCCTCTTCGGGCTCAGGCTCTGGTTCCTTTTTCTCTTCCTTTTTCGGAGCTGGGGGAGGAGTGGGAGCTGGCGCTGGAGCCGATGCGTCCTCTTCTCCTTCCTGTCCCATCATTGCCCCCAAAAGAGCCATGATTTTTGGATCCTGAAGCATGGCAGGGAGCATTGCCGGATTGCTCTGAACCAGTTTGATTTTGGCCATCAAATCTGGATCATTGAGCATGGGGCGAGTTTTTGGATTCAGCGCCATTTGAGCCACCATTTCTGGACTAAATAAACCGGCCAAACCTCCCATTCCACCAGCTCCTCCTCCTGGCATGGGAGGACTGTCTTTTTCTCGTTTGGCATCCTCCAAACCCTTGGTCAAGGCGGCATCACCGGGGAATTTGGCCAGTCCTTCTTCGTAGGCGGCAATGGAATCGTTGTAGCGTTTGAGGGCATGGAGAGCCGCTCCCTTTCGCGAGAATCCTTTGGAAAAGGAGGGGTTCAATCCAATACAGGAAACAGCATCTTCCAAGGCATTGTGGGCATCACCCTTTTTCAGATAGGCAGCCGAACGATTGGAAAAGTAGACGTGGTTGCTTCCATCCAAACGAATGGCGGCCGTGTAATGCTCAATCGCTTCCGATGTGTTGCCCGCTTGAAGGGCGGCATTCCCTTTGGCTTTGAACTGGAAATAAATAATGAAGAAATAGTGTGAGAACTACAGCATACAGTACAGTAGTCACCAACAAGAGTTACAAGCTAAGCAGTACTCACTTCGTCGGCAGTCGCCATGGTCGACAGTCAAACAACCAAATCAAACCACACGATTAGTCCAAGTCCACGACAAGATAGATTTGTGGTTGGTTGTGCGGGGTCTTTGGGGTTCTCGCGAGAGAGCTCGAAGATTTCTTTCCATGGGCTTCGATTTGAGACAATAAAATGCTATGAAAATGATGTAAAATGCATCGGAAAAGAGTAACTTTTACATAATTAATGTATAAAAATAAAAACCTATCTGTCAAAGCAATCACAAAAATCTATTCCTTGAGACGCACAATCACTCCTTCTCACCTCGTCCAGCCTGACCACTTCAGCCCAGGCCAATGACAGAATTGAGGCCATCCAAAAAAAAGACAACGTTACCGTCCGCCGTCATTAATACCCTTGGTACAGTACCCTCCTAACCAATACTTTAACATCCTCTTCTCCACAACAAACAAAATGCCCCCCAAACGTAGACAAACTACAAGCAAACGTCGCCGCAAAAATGACAGTTCTGACGAGGCAGAAGAAGAAGAACAGGATGATTCCTCGGTAGAAGTGGCCCCAGCACCAGCGCCAGCCAAAAAGCCAGCCAAGAAAGGAAGGTCCATTCGCAAGGAAGTGAAGATTGCGAAAGATGTCGATGCCGTCCTTAAAAAATGCCGTCAACTAAAGGCTAATCTACGAAAGAAAGCAGCTTTGGAATCAGCCCAAAAGAAATCAAGTGGCAAAAAGAACAAGGACTCGGAGGATTCGTCTGAAGAAGACTACAGTGACGACATGTTGTTGTTGGAGGAGGTGGATTCCAAGCCCAATGCGATAATCAGCAGCAAACCAGCCACAATTTCGCCCTCGGAAATTCCTTCTAGTGGTATAATTGAAGTATCCGAACTCAATGCGACTGAAGTTTTGGAGGGATTGGAAACCATCGCCCTTCGGGTAACCAATCAAGTGTTAACCAAACAAGGATTTTCCATGGCAGTGCCCAGTCGAGGACCCGGCAATCAAATATACGTTGCCGAATGGGATCGGATCGTCCTGGGGAACAAGCATCTGTCGCGGAATTTCCTCAGCGTCAAAGATACGCGCAAAACCGCCGTTACCGTCAGAGTCATGCAGCTGCTTCATGCTGTCTTGTCCAAACGCATTCACATTACCAAACGTGACCTCTTTTACACGGATGTCAAGCTATTTGTCAATCAGATGGACTCGGATGGAGTTCTAGATGATGTTGCCACCATGATTGGCTGCACACGTTCCAATCTTCATGTCGTGGCCAGTGATAAGGGTCTCGTGGTGGGGCGAATCCAATTCGAAGAAGATGGGGATTACATTGATTGTACAAGAATGGGGTAAGCAAAACAAACAAACAAACAAACAAACAAAAACATGCTAACCAGCGCACCAATGCTGACCATCATTTGACGTTCTTTCCACCTTCTTGCTCGCTTGCTACGTGTACGTACAGTGTCAGCGGAAAAGCAATAGCTCCATATATCGACAAGATTGAGAACATTGTCAGTGACGCCGAGTTTATTCTTTTGGTGGAGAAGGAAGCCGCTTACATGCGGTTGGCAGAAGACAGATTCTACAACAAGTATCCTTGTATCATTATCACTGCCAAGGGACAGCCGGATGTGGCCACGCGAATGTTCCTGTCTCGGGCAGCATCCCAACTTCAAATTCCCGTGCTGGGTTTGGTAGATTCTGATCCCTATGGCCTCAAGATTCTCTCCGTCTACATGAGTGGAAGTAAAAACATGAGCTATGACTCGGCAAGTCTCACAACTCCCGATATCCAATGGTTGGGGCTCAGGCCCAGTGATCTCGACAAATATAACTTGCCCGAACAGTGCAGGCTGGATATGACCGAATTCGATATTAAGACGGGCAAAGAGTTACTCAAAGAAGACTTTATTGTGAAGAATCCAAAGTGGATGAAGGAAGTTGCCGAAATGGTCAAGACAAAGAAGAAAGCAGAGATTCAGGCGTTGTCTTCGTTTGGGTTTCAGTACATCACGGAAGAATATTTGCCCCGGAAATTGAGAGAGGGTGATTGGATCTAGTTTTAGCCTCGATATTGTATTAGCTATTATGGTTCTAGCTACCGGTAGCTAGAAAGTGGTTTCAAACTGATTTGCCTTGAACAGTTATGGCATGCGTCTGTTACTACCATTTAGTCCAGACTGTGGGCCACAGGGACCAACCTGTCTGTGGCAAGGCTCTAACCCTACTGCAATATCCGCAAGATCTTTCGCAGGGGACCCAAGATTTCCCAATGCCGCCACGAATTTAGAAGAGTATTTATTTATTTATTCATGGACTGGACAACATCCACCACAGACATACTAGTAGCCACAGCTCTGCCACCCTCCCTCCATCGGTATACGAGTACGCTAGCTACTAGATACCTCACATTGATTGATTATTCATTGATTCAGAGAGCTGGCTGCTGATAGGTTTGGATTGGAATACATCGGTGCACTCTCCATTTTTGATACGGACCCGATCAGAGCCTCCTTATACCACTACTATTAGAAGTAACCAATTTGTGTCGTGGTCTCTATACCGATACTATTAATTTAAAAGAGCACCATGGAGGAGAAAAAGTCTACAGTGATCACTGCAGGTGGAGTCATTGGAGGAGCGGCACCAGCTGCTGTTCCTGCTGCCAAGAAGGTTAAAAAGAAGAAGAAAAAGAAAGGAAAATCCAACAGAAAGGGCTCGTCTCCTGCTAAAGACGGCCACAGCAATGACCAGAAACAGCTATTATCTGCCAAGGCCCAGAATGATTCCTCCAAGCCCATGTATCTGGAATTTGAAGACTCCAAAACAAACTTTTCCGACGATCCACTAAGTGCCAAAGGAAGTGGCGGTGCAGAATGGGCCCTAAGAGAAAGCAATGACATCCATCTGGGGCCAAAGCGCAATAGCAAGAAAACAAGTACCATGGAGGATCTGTACCAAAATCCAACACTGCAACCTACACGATCCAACGAACTCTTCTGGCTGTTCTTGTGTTTTATGGGAATTATGGCATCTTTTGTCTGCTATGGTATTCTTTTGGAGTATACCACATCAGGAGGACGAAAGCTCCATGAACTCTCATTCCTTTTCGTCACTTCTGGTTTGTACACAATCACTGCTGCAGCTGGTCGGTATGTCAGAGATGAAACTCCCACCACAATCCCTCCTGCTAGATTTGCAGTTCTAGGCTTGACGTCCATGGGGAGCACCTTTTGTTCGGTCCGATCATTGCGCTACGTCATTTATCCCATTCAAGTCTTGGCCAAATCCTGCAAGCCAGTTCCCGTCATGATTATGGGAGCATTCATGGGCAAAAAGTACCCAATGCGCAAATACGCCAATGTTCTCTTAATTGTCCTGGGTGTGGCCCTCTTTATGGGAGGAGGATCGGGAGGTGGCAAACACAAGGCTCCGTCAGCTGGGTCCAATAGCACGGCAACAACAGAGGCAGCAGCCGAAACCGATGTCGATGCCTCACCCAATCAATTTCTGGGCATCGCATTGCTCTTCATCTCCTTGTGCTTTGATGGTGGTACTGGAGCTTATGAGGACAAACTCATGAGCGTTCATTCTGTGGGACCGTTTGACCTAATGTACAACATCCAACTGGGAAAGACCATTCTGGCTGGTATTGGGTTGTTGGTGCTCAACCAGATACATATTTTCGTTCAAATGTGCCAAGAAATGGGTTTCCTGCTCGTGGCTCTGGGCTTGAGTGGAGCACTTGGACAGGTCTTTATCTTTGTTACAATTGCCAAGTTTGGTGCTCTAACTTGCAGTATCATCGGATTGGCCAGGAAGGTAACGACGTTGGTGGCAAGTATTTACATTTATGGACATGCCTTGAATGGAATTCAATTTACGGGTCTCGTCGTTTCAGTTGGAGCCATGGTTATGAACTTTTGGAAAAAGAAAGAACCAAAACCAGAGCCTCTTGCAGAAGAACGAGATCCTCTGCCAGAGGAAATGCGACAAATGCTGGGAGAGTACAAAGACGAGGAAGCTGGACCTGGAGACGTTGAGTTGGCCCCAACACCGGCCCCCTCGAGTTCCGGTGGCGCCCACTGATCCTGAAATGCTACCGCATGGTTGCCGCCCATCTTAAGGATATTCTAAGTGCTTGAACGAACAGTTAACTGGTAGCGGTATCAAATCTATCAATCGGTTAACGCTATGTGAAGCAAGCTGCCTCTACTGTACTTTACCAGCCCGGCGAAAGCACTTAACTATACCCTCTTCTGATCGAGTTTTCTGCTTCTTCTTAAGTTCTCTGTTGCGTCTTGCGCTCTCGCTCGCATGCACTCACGAAAGCACGTACGGCCAAGTTAAAATCGTCCCTTGGCAGCCCTCTATTCAAAGCCCCCATAAAACCAGCTTTGGCACGCTCTGGAGGATTCATTGCTGTGGTGAAGGCTGTCGTCAGCCACCCAGCCAAGTGTTCGGGGCACAGCAGATTGAGCTTCCACATCAACTCTGGAACTTGGTTCCCGTAGTTTGGCAATTCTCCCATCAGTGCGCGAGCAAGATTTGTTACAATGGTCTGCCCTTCTTGCGTCAACGCGTGCTCAAGAGCTGCCTGGCACACTGGTCGTGGTGGCTGTTCTCGCAAGCGCAGTCCGTACGAGATTGTATTGTCGAGGAAGCTCAAGGTCCCTTTGTTGGCATCCCGATGAGCCACCTGCATCCCCACCGCTGCACATTGCAACAATGGCTGCAGCAACGTGCTTGTTACCATGGGATCTGGACAAAACGTTACCATTCGCCCCATCAGGTAGAAAAACTCCTCTACTACATCAGGATGGTGGGTCAAGTCATCAAGTGTCTTCAAAAACGAGAACGAAGTCTGCGCCATGGCTGACACCATTTCCAGCAGCTTTTGAGAATACGCAGGATTTCGTCCATATTCCGCGGCACAGATGCTGGCAGCATACAGGAATGGAGATAGGTGGGATCGCTGGTAGCTGACGACCAAGAATTCCATCAAGGGGTTAATCAGTGGTTCATACGCCCGTGCTCCGCATGATCGCAGCGAATGCTTGTGCAGGCGGCATATCTTCTCCGCCAAATGAATATCCTGCGGGAACCGCTGCGCTGCTGTATCAATCAATGCCCAGGACGACTGCATCAGTGCGGCGACCGGGTGGGTGGCCTCGTTGCCATTCGTGGGCATGGACAAATGCTGCACAACCGTCGTCAATCGTTCAATCTCAGGAATGATCGTTTTGGGAGTAGCCTTTGGGTCTGCCACCTGTGCTGCAAACCGTGATCCGATTGGTTGAACAATCCGAGCAATGGTCGCTGTGCCGTCATCGTTGGCATCGTGCATTTGCTTGGACAACGCTCTACAGACCCCTTCCAGAATTTGCAGTTCATCTGCCAGCTCTAGTTTCGTTGGATTGTTGACATCGTGCGCATTGGCTGTGATTTCGTTGTACAGTTGCAAGACGGGTTCTCCAAGTGCCAATCGTTGATCGGAATTTTCACAAAGCTCTTTGATAGCTACGGCAGCTGCTGGAGCACTGTGGGGCACCTTCAAGCCATTGGCCAAGTATGGGAGGAGCGGCTGCAGTAGATTTGGATGAGCCACGAGCCAAGAAGCATATTTGCCGATCGTTTTGCTGGCAGTGAACCGCAAGGGCGGAATATCAGGAGGAAGCTGAGGAATGAGGTTGAAACAAAAAGGCAATATTTCTGCTTCGTCGCTTGGAACAAATCGATGCATACACTGTATGCAGGCAAAGCATGACTCCAAGCCATGCCATTGAATCGGATTGTTTGCGGAGCTGCCACTGGAAGAAGATTGTTGCTGCTGCACACGTTGGCATTCTTGGTGGAAGAGAGCCCCAATCCTTTGAAGAACCAGTTGCCCACCTAGCAAGCGGCAGCAGTCCTCAATTGTTTCAGCGACGTAGAATCGATCTCTATGCAGGTCGTCCATTCTATCTCCTGGCAACTCATCCATATCTTCTGGGTACTTCATTAAATGCATCACGCAGATATCAATCAACTGGAGCAAATGGGGTGTGTAGAGATCGATCAGCTCTTGCCTCCACTCGTATGGATCAATGGATTCCAAATCCATCACCATCCGGTACCAAAAGTGCAGTGTGATATTTGCAATTTCTGTCTCGGGTATTTTGCTGCAGAGCAGGACCCATTCGACCATTTTCTGAGGTAGATTGTCTGGGGCAGCAGCTTGGCTGGAGAGAATCAAGCTCATGTAGGATTCCCCCATCTCTGTGACAACCCGACAGTATGCCTTCCAAACGTCTTCGTTGTCGGATTGCAACGCCGCTTGAAGGGGCATATGCTGAAATAGTAGAGGCAGCATTGCTTGCACAATGGGTTCATTGTTAGGGTGGTGGCTAGGGTACATTCGAAGTATTTCGACGACCACATCTGCAGCATGGTCAATGTAAGCCGGTTGCGATAAGGCTTGAATCGACGCAGCCAGGAGTGGAGATTGGCCAATGTTCCCTGGCTCCACAGGAACATATCGAATCCAAAGATGAAGAGTAGATAAGACCTGCTGGATTGTCTTTTGTGACACTTGTTGCTGTTGTTGTGGTAAGTGTTGCATGAGACAAGAGTTCAGAAAGTCAAATACCAGCCCCGAACTTGACACAAAGTGGTCCCTCATGACATATCTGTTTGTTTCGTCCTCTAACAAAAGGCGGTCTGAAGCACATTCTTCCGGCAGTACTTGCAAAATGGACAAGACAACCGCTCGCTGAACTGCCATGGCATTGTCATCCCCGGTATTTTTCTGCAAGGGTTCAAACAGGTCGGTAAGCACGGTTGTCCAGTTCATTTGCACCGCCAACGCCGCTACACACATGGCCAACCGAGTAGTCAGCGCGGTGTTGTTGCCCGCTGCCGCAGATTGAGAGGCGTTCGTATACGTCTGCAAGTGCGTCAAGAGGGAATCACGCAGCGAAGGCAATGACTCCCGTGGCAATTCTTCAATTGCGACTCGGCATTTCAAATGGAGCGTCTGAGCGGCAAAAAAGCGACGTTGTTGCTGAACGGCCACATCGTCTACAGCATCTTGGAGGGACAGCAATCGATCGCAAACCATCCAAGACACTTTCGTTGTTTGAAAGCTGGTCAAATAAGCGTCCGCCGATTGTCGTTGTTGCCACCATTGCTGTTGATTGGCTTGTGCTGACAACGCCGGCTGGGGCGAAAAGACTGCCGTCAATGCCAGATGAATGCGATGCAATTCTTCATCGACATTGTCGCTATGCTGTGGCGGTTGCTGCTGGCCCGGTGCTGATTGATGGTGCTGCATAATGGAAATGGTGGCTCAAATTTTAATTTAATGGTCAAAGTGGGTGCTCTGTCTGCAGACAATTATTCAAAAATGGACAAGGTGCTCCTTTATTTTTAAAAACCGGTTGATTGAAAAAAAGACCTCCTCTACAGATTGCTCATGGGCAAGACAAGGACGCCAGCAACCTAGGTCGATGGCAGCTTGTACTCCGCGTACGAATGAAGATGCCGACAGGGCGATTGCTCTTGGTATCGTCGTGGTTGTTATGGTTGTGTGGATGCTTCAGGAGGAGCAGTGCAAACAGAACTGGGTGGTGAACGTTGTGCGCGCCAATTGCACGGCCAACCATCAACAACCTCGAAGCCGGAGAGTCGACGTCAGCATGGCCGAAAAAGTCGTCAAATCGAATGAAATCGAATGATTCCATTCAATCGAATCGAATCATTCATCAATCCAACGGATAAAATCTGATAATTCCCGAGGGTTACGTTTCTAGGCTGGCGCGCTGAGTGGATGGTCTTGAAGTGGGCTCATAGCCCAGCACAAACTCAACAAGAGAGGAGGCTACACCTCCTCACAATCAAGTCATTACTCACACCTAGACTAGTAGTTTTAATCGGCTATAGACAAGGTTGAGTCAACCTCTTCGCTACCGAAGCACCACCTTAGGGTGCCCCGCCTGTAGGCACCAACTTGTCCCACCGGGTACGAGCCATCGGAATCGACCATGGCACACCAAAACCCAGGAGGACCCGTCACCTACAAGTCACTCTACGATGACCCAACACTCAACCCTTTAGGGGGAGACTTTGCCGCTGCCCAGGGCAGAACTGCTAGGCTGATGCTACAGTGGAGGACAAACGACAACCCGTCCACGTCCGCTGAATTGCACCAAGAAATGCTAGACGACTTCATGGCACCCATTGGTGGTGTGGCAGTACTAGTACAAGACGGCAACACACCTGGAGGAATACTGCACATCCTTCATGGTTTCCTACGCCATCCGGGGGATCCAGGTGCACCTGCAGCACCAGAGAGACGACAAACTTTCTGCTATGTAAACGAACTCGTGGGCGTGGATATACAGACCACCGCCTTCCAGCAAACGCAACTAGATATGACACCCCAGACCATCATATGTGCCACGCCACAAAGACACATGGAAGCCCTGAACGACGACGCAGCACTCAATCTACTGGGACCATACAACGCCGATGACGCGAACATACAGACCACACGCGTCCGAAAGGCCATGTTTGTGCCATTCGAACTAGTGGGCCTATTGATTGGAAAAGGATTCAAAGCCCGAAAGGCCTTCGAAGTGGTATACGCACATGCGGACACAAACAACCGGATCGCTCACTACCTTCCCCTGCTGACCTTTCTCATGATGGCCTCCACAAAAGCCGCGGCTCAGTCCGCCCACTCCCCAGTGACACACAACCACGTCGGCATCAACACTTTGCATCCGACACCGCAAGTGCATAGCCACCGCCGCGAGCATGTTCTCTACCGGCAGCTTCCCAACCTGCGCCCAGTCACTGGCGCAACACCGGGAGATCCCGCGCTTCAACAAATGGCCCAAGGGCTACATGACCTAGTGGCCGAATCACGTCTGGCGAGAAATGAAGTAGACCGTCGCAGGGTAGAAGCTGCCCGTCCGAAAGAAGTCCGAGAAAAATTCAAAGAGCGAGTGACCGACCGCCTGTTGCTCCTCACGGGAGCCCAGACGGACGAAGAACTTCCACCAATCTACCACGAGCTGGCAGCACGGGCACAAGGGACGTCAGAAAGGATGTTGTTGCAACATGAGACGGACACAGTGGCTGGCCAGATGGGATTCAATGCACCGCTCATCTCCCCACAACACACCATCGCCTTCAAAGCGTGGAAATTCCAAGGTGACGCCTTCCACTCTGTGGGAACCGGCCTACTACCGTTCACAGTGACGCCACCTGGTGCCATGTCGCCGGAAGGACAAAAGCAGTTGGCCGAGGACACTGCACAAGCTGACCAGTACGACATGAGTGGCGACCCGGTCAGCAATAGCATCAGCGCGTCAGATGCACGACAAATGAAGAACCCACATGGGTACATCCCACAGGATTGGACGGAAGCTACAGCCCAGTTGAAGGCCTTCGGCCCCATACTGGGCGTCATCTTCGGAGCAACTCACAACAACGTGCGCGACTACCAGAACTTCCTCCTAGAGTACGAGCGACTCGCCCCAGCACTTCAGGCCACGCTCAACCGATCCTACGGAACAAAGTTAGCACCATCCGTAATGGTGTTGCACATCCAGCTCATCTACCGAGCCTACTTCGTGAAGCAGCTCTCAGTTCGCACGACCACAAGCATTCCAGGCCCGAATCTAATGGTCGGTCTCGAAGCCTTCGAACTCAGCAACAACGTGAGCTGGGCACCAGCCGTGGATAATATCCCGGCACTAGTACGTCTCCGCGGATCCAACCAGCAGGGCAACATTCGTCAAAACCGAGTTCCACCCGCCAACAACAACAACAACGCGGAGCAGGCGAATAGGAACAACAATAACAACAACAACAATGCCCGTCAGATGATTCGAAACCCCAACAGGGATCCACGGTACGTGGGAAACACCCCTCTGGCCAACAACATCCGAACCAGACGCGTCAGAGATGCCATCGAGTTGGCAGGAGAGAACCCACCACAAGTCCGACGTGATGGGAACCTGGTTGACTGCTGTGTCTCATGGCACATTGCGGGACGCTGCTACAACACATGCCCTCGGGTTATTGATCATGCAGCCAACAACCAGGAAGAAACCAACAACCTCCACACTTGGTGCCTCAGAGCTTACGCCTGAGACACCGGCAGGCAGTGCTACCAACATCGTGAGCACCTTGCCGAGCCTGTGACACCGAAGGTGTCGACAAGGGTAGCCCTTAGTTTGAAACATAGTAGCAGTCAACCAGTTAACGTACCTGCTAGTAGTCAACAACTAGGTGAGTTGCAATTTTCGATCGCTCCGTCAGCTTTAGTAGAGCCCAACGCTACGTCCACTGTCCAGCCACCTCCGACAACATCACAGGTTCGCCCAAACACGTTGGAACTCCAATCGACGAGGAAGTTCCCAACACATCCAACAACACAGCGAGCCAGGTCAATCGAGGCAGGCAACACAAAGGACGCAACCGAGCGTCCGTCACACTCTACAACAAGCTGCGACAACGCAACGACACCCCACACCAACGATGGTTGCCGAAACGACGGCAGCAACAACGACAAAGGCCGGATCGACGGCCGAATCCCCATCTCAAGCGAGAGACGCGACAACCCACTAGCTCCGAAGAGCTCCACAATGGAAGCTCGTCCACACGAGACAGAACCAGACGAACTCGATCGACTGGTAGCAGACGCTGTCGAACGCTTCCAGAGCACGAACAGCTGGGAGCTGTTCGTGAAAGAATCCAGGGACCCCGTGAGCGACTTCCATGAAGACGTGGCTAACCTGCCTCATCCGGCAGGCCCACTACTGGACAAGTTCCGACGAATGGGAGCACCAGTCACGATGGCCACAGCTCCATGGACAACCGAGAGAATAGACACGGCTCTAGAGAGGGGCCCCCACAAGTCCGCAAAAGAACATATAGAGTTCCTCCGGGAAGAATTTGTTGGCATGATCAACAAAGGGCACTGGACGCTCCTTCCATACAGCCTAATAGAAGGAAAATTACCAGACCTGAGGCTTAGTCCACTAGGAGTGGTGCCACAGCGCGAACGACGCCCCCGGACCATCTGTGACTACACCTTCTTCGGAGTCAACAAAGAAACAGAGGAGACGGCACCCATGGAAGCCATGCAGTTCGGAAAAGCGCTCCACAGAATCATGGAAAAAGTCCACCATGCGAATCCACGGTACGGTCCCGTCTACATGTCGAAAGTAGACATCGCAGATGGATTTTACAGAGTGTGGGTCCAAGCAGAAGATGTGCCGAAGCTAGGCATGCTGTTCCCGGCTCGGCCAGGAGAAGAGCCGATGATAGCCTTCCCGTTGGTGCTTCCAATGGGCTGGAAGGAGTCACCGCCAAACTTCAGCGCCGCTACAGAGACAGTGGCAGACATTGCCAATGACCACATAGCCGACAATCAACACCGACCTCCTCATCATCGCCTAGAGGTGGTATCCGAGTCCCCACCTCCAGATGACGAAAAACCAACGACATCGCCAAACGAGAACAGTCCAGCTCTACCACAACCGACGTGTCAACCGTATCCGTCCGGCCACCGAACGAAACCCACTCACTATTGGGACGTGTACGTGGACGATTTCATTGGCTTGACACAAGGCAACAAATGGCAACGACGTAGGACCAAGAGAATCCTACTCCACGCATTAGACACGGTCTTCCGAGGATTGGACCCCAATGACACACCACACCGACAAGAGCCAGCGTCAGTCAAGAAGCTACGGAAAGGCGACGCCTGTTGGACAACTCGAAAGGTCATACTGGGTTGGATATTGGACGCATTGTCCAAGACGATAGAGCTACCCCAACACCGGAAGGACCGACTCATCGAAATCTTAGAGAGCATCCAGCCAACACAACGACGGATTGCCGTGAAGCAGTGGCACAAGGTCCTTGGGGAACTGAGATCCATGGTGATCGCGATCCCAGGTGCACGAGGCCTCTTCTGCACCCTACAAGAAGCCTTTCGTCATCAGGAGGAATCCAGTCACCGCCTCCGTCTCACCAAGCAAGTCCATGACTTCTTGGCCGACTTCAAATGGCTGGCCCACAGCATCAACGAACGGCCCACGCGATTAGGCGAGGTGGTCCCTCACCACAATCCATCCACCAGGGGCGCATGTGACGCCTCCGGAAAGGGAATGGGTGGCATTCACTTCATCCCGACGGATGACGGCATTATCCCCATCCTATGGCGTGCCAAGTTCAACGCCAAGGTCGAACGGAATCTGTCCTCATTCGAAAATCCGAAAGGACCGATCACGAACAGTGACCTAGAACTTGCAGGTTCGGTGGCCCATGCCGACGTCCTGGCACAGGCTTGTGACATTCGAGAACACACGATACACAACTGCTATGACAACACACCCACAGTGTTCTGGCAACGAAAGGGATCAACAACGACAACAGGACCAGCCGCCTACCTCCTACGAATCCAGTCACTACACCAGCGGCATCATCGCTACCTACCACTACACGACTACATACCCGGAGAGGCGAACCTACTAGCGGACATTTGCTCCCGAGCGTGGCATTTGTCCGACGACGAACTTCTCACCCTCTTCAACTCTCGTTTCCCACAGAAACAATCATGGCAACTATGTCACCTTCGCAACACGATGCTGTCGAGGATAGGCACCAGTGCTATTAGTACGTTTTCTTAATCTTAAATTAGCTCACAATTTGTGCACCTGGACAATTTGCTAGCAAAATAGAAACAGGTGTGGTGGCACCAACCACCATGGCCAGCTGCTGCTGGGCAGCATGGCAACAGGAGTAGAGTAGAGTACTCCCATGGATGGGAGACTGCAATGCAACAACAGAAAGAGACAGGAAAAGCACCATTTTGAGCCAAAAAGTGAGACCTCCATTTTCATTCAATCTTCCAACATACTACGGCGACTTCTCCTCCCCTTCCAGCCGTACCTCCTGCGCAAAACACTCCTCCAGCTTCAACCTCCCTCATTGTCACCAGTACACAACACAAATAACACCATAAGCGAAAGCGCTCCTCCAAGACACACCTCCATGGTCAAAAAGGCAACAACGAGGAAAGCATCCTCATTCTTCCATGCTCTTCCACGCGACCTTCTTTGACACCATAAGTGACCTCCACTGACAC